CCCTGACACACACGTCATCCCTCTCAAGTCCAAACCCTCCCTCCCCTCCAGCGCAAGTTCCTCAATCGGCTGCCGTGTTTGACTCCTGGAGTAAGTGGCATACCCCTCCTCCAAACCGACACTGAAATTAATGCCCACTGAAAGTTACCCCACAACTGCTGCATTCTTCCCCCTTACCCCTCTCCTCTCTCGTCTACAAACCGCACATACCGACAAAAAACATCAACAATTTTCAGCGCAAACGCGATGGGCCGCCAGTCTGGGTCTGGGGAACCGGGAACCGCGGGTTTCCATCAGCGAGCGGCCGCCTGCAGGCAGGCAGGACTCCATCGTGTTTTTAGTACCCTTCTCCCCTTCGTGCCCCGCCCGGCCCCGCCCACCAGCCACTGGGCCCACCGGGGCGCGGCGGGGCTGGGCGGCCAGCCACATTGCGGTATATAGGCGGCCCGTAAATTCCTCGCCTAGTGCCCTATTTATGGTTCGAGTTATCGGCGTTTGATCCGCGCAGAGCGGCCGCGTCCGAACCGCCGCGCCTCCGTTGCTCTAGTGGGCGGCGTCTTCGGGGAGATTCGAACGCCGCGGGTAAGGGTGTGCTGGAGTAGCGGGGTGAGGACGACCGCGGGAGAGGGGGGAAGGGGGACTCGGAAGAGCGGGAGCCGTGAATGAGGATAAGGTGGGGGTGGTGGAGGTGGGGCTAAAGGGTGAATGCAGCGGGTAAGAACGGGGAGGGCAAGAAGCACGAGTCTGCTTCAAACACTCGAGAACAACAAGAAGGGGAGGGTTGAGGGGTGGGTGGGAGACCCTCGACGGGCAAGAGGGAGAGGGGCGCGCGACGGCACCTGCTAAACAACTGAGAGCTGATTGGATTAGGTAGCAGTGACAGCTAAAAAAAAATCGCGCAAAGAACAAACGTAAACACAAACGTTGGACGGGACGGGATGTCTTACCGATGACGGCGAGCTCGAGGCCCTGCGTCGAGGAGCGGCCCTGCTTGTTGCTGGCTGTGCAGCGGTAGAGCCCGCTCTCCGAGTCACGCTGGACGTTCTCCAGGTGCAGCGTGCCGTTGGGGAACACGTGCTGGCGCCGGTTCAGCGGCAGCACCCGGCCGTCTGGCACGAAGATCGTAAAAATAACGTTTGCCCACAAAAATATTGAAAAGTTTTCCCATTTTAGATTAGGTTTCTAGAATAAAAATGTCAACTTTTCTTAAATAAAAAGAATATGTGCTTAGCCGGCACATGCCATCATTCAAGTCTTTAGTACCTTTCTCCCAGGTGATGGTCTCGATGGGGTAGCCGGCCGCAGGGCAAGCGATGTACAGCGGTTCCCCGGCCACGGCCGAGATGTTGGGCATCGGCCTCACATGCGGCGGGCCTGCAAGAGCACCGATTTAGACGAGTCCAGGGTGACGGGTGTAATATGGTACACAACGCCCAGCTCCGCTCACCGTAGACCCTCATGTCGGCCGAGTGGCGCGCGTCGCCGACGCGGTTCGAGGCCACGCACTGGTAGATGCCGCCGTCCTCGACCTGCACGTTGCTGATGTTGACGTGGCTGATGACGTCCCCGTGCAGCGTCATGTACTGGCCGATGACGAAGCGGTCGCTCTGCGGCAGCGGGAAGCCGTCCAGGTTCCACGAGATGTGCGGCGTCGGGTTGCCCGTCGCGATGCACTTGAGGGACACGTGAGGCCCGGGCGCCAGCGTCTGCCTGATGAACTTGTAGAGCAGCTGGGGCCGCGCGGCTGCGGAGGGAGAGAGAGACAGGGCGTGATAACCGATCCGCGAGGCCGCGAGGGTGCGGTGCAGGGCCCTGCCGGCGGCGCTCACCCCCGAGCAGCAGCTGCGTGGCGGCCTGCGCCGAGTCGTCGTTGTCGGCGCGCGCCACGCACTGGTACATGCCCGCGTCCTCACGCTGCACGTTGTCCAGGACGAGGGTGGCGTGCGAGGCGCCGGCGAGCGGGTGGCCGTCCTTATACCAAGCGCGCGACGGCGGCGCGCCCTGCGACCCGCCCGACACGGCGCAGCGCAGCTCGGTTCGCGCGCCTACGTCCACGGTGACCTGGGCAGGGATTTAAATTTTCTAAGAAAGTTCAAGTTAAAAAAACCAAACAAAAAAAACAACTCGTTTTTTTCCGGAATTTTTCCGTAACATTTGAGAAAAAAAGTTTCTCTGCAACATTTTTATTTTTAATTTTTTTTTTAAATCGTGTTTCTATCCGTAAATTTTTCTGGGATTTTCCAGCCTTCAAATCCCTACCTGGGCGTGCGGCTGCAGCGACACGGACAGCGGCGCCGACAGCTGCAGCGTCACGTCGACGCGCTCGCCGCCCGCCGTGCTGTTGAGCAGGCACACCCAGTGGCCCGCGTCCTGCTCCTCGGCGTGCTGCACCACCAGCACCTCGCCCACCGCGAACACGCGCTCGTCGGGCGCCTCCAGGTGCGGCCGCAGCTGCTGCCGCTCCAGCCGGAACCAGCTGCGTGTCAGAGAGCGTCAGAGGGCCAGTGTAAATGCAGCAGTCCTCACCCGCAAAGGGAAACAACAACAAAAAGCAAAAAACAAACAGCGACTCATCGGCTTAATTACAGCCGTGGTGGGGCGCAGGGCGGGGCGGGGTCGGGTGCGACGGCAGACGACTTCAAAGCGCCGCGATTGCCTGGCCGCCCCCACGTTTTGGCGCGACGCCGCCGCCGCCGCCGCCAAACCCCCCGTGCACCGAGCAGAGGGAAGGGATTTGCATCGAAGCCAGAGGCTGATTACTGCTTGAGCGCAGCGGCGGCAGCTGCCGGCGGGGCGGGGCGGGGCGGGGCGTGGCGGGGCGGAGCGTGGCGGGGAGGGGCGTACCCTAATCGAGCTGAAAATAATCCTGCACTCGTACAGAGGACGAGGAGCAAGCGAAGGCGGAGCCCGCGCGTACAAGCCACCCCACCGCCGCCATGTGGAGAGGGGAAGGGAGGCAAGATAAACTGACTCTAGAGAGCTGGAAAAATATTTGTGTGAACAAGTGCCCACCGAATTCTCTCGGCACTCACCCTCCACCCCCC